CCTACGAACTATGTATTTGCATTAATCCTATTAGCTAAATAATATCCAACGGATTATAACTAATTATCAGTTTTAAAATAAATAATTAAAAGAAAAAAAATACAGATTCGACGAATCTGCGTCTGGGTATATATAATGTTGTTGGTCCATTGCACGTTCGGGTCCCGCGCAGGACGTCCCCGAAAACGATATGAGTTTGTAGTACGGTAATAGTATGAAAGTAAGTAGGTACTTAATTAGTGTTGCGACTTGTGATTAGGTGTGGATACGCGTTCWTGAAAATTACCGTAGCGGCGAATAACGGTTGTTGTGGACGGCCGGGGGACGGATATAATATTATGAAGAACCGAGAAAGTGAAACCAAAAATTCGATAACATTTCAGTATCATTCGACCCGAAATTTTGAACTACTCGCAATGGCTTGTGTGTATGTGTGTGTGTGTGTGTGTGTGTGGCCGGAAACTTTCCGGTTTGAGCTATTGTACAATACGCACAGTAATAATATTATATCGTAATATTATTAACAATTATATTAAATACGGTGCGCATATTATTATATTCGGACCTATACGCTAAATGAATATATTACTATTATACGGAAATCTGCGAGAAAATCTTGTATAATGAGTGTTTGTGTCTATGATACACAGCGGYAGCGTGTATTTGGGCTATTGTTTATTATATTATTTATATTGTATGTGTGTGTGTGTGAGTGGAATACGCGATTTACACRGAATTGGGTACCTACGATAAAACATCGTTTGCAGAAGTTCCGTCGATAGATTCAGACATGATCGATTGATCTGATCGCGTATTTTTTGTCTATTGATCAGTTTTATTATATTGTTTGCATTTCGTATCTGTGTCATCCGTCAAATGGTACTGAGTTTATAATAGAAACATGTGTGGTTTATATAATCATAATATACTATGTACGATCGTTTTGATATTGTTGTGTGTTGTGTGGCGTATGTGTTTATGTGTACATATTATTATATACCGCAGCTCGTTCGTCTCAGGGAATTAAACGAAAATAGAATTTGTATTTTTCCTCTATTTTATTGCACGAGATTGTTTTGATTGGCATGTTGACGGATAAAATAAAAAACAATAATATTAATAAATATAAACAAATAAAAATCACATAATATAATATTATTGTCCTCCTGCTCCCTACTCTCGAGGTTAGAATAAAGCGCACGTGTAATATTATACTTGAACGAGGATAAATAATAAATTAAAGGAATCACAAACGAATAATCGACAAAACGATATTTCGGAAAAATTACGAAGAGAACACGACAGCCGCTTTTTGCATTGGTTTCACGTGGTTTACACAAGTACGGTGAGCATATCATTTTTATGTATAACATAATATTCGTATATTAATGTGCACGTGACTTGAACGTATGGGAGGTTTAACCGGGATGGGTTGTAAACGCCGTACGTGGGTAAGAGAGCTAGGGTTAGAYATTTTTTTAAATATCGTTACCATTTTATCATTTAATTATTATATTATTATGTACAGGGTTGGTTGTTCAGAAAATATTTTGTTTTTAATTTTTTTTCATTGTATTTACAAGTAAATAAATAAAATAAAATGTCTGTTCTACTATTGTCACTATCATATTATATGTACAAGATTGCGCGCTCTGTCGTGTTGTCATGAGAAATTCAATGTCGAGGAAGGAAAATGCAGTGTATTTGAGAGATAATGTTTTCATCTTATTTACATGCTAAATATTATTACACGGTATTTATTTCTTAAGCTAAACTCTCTGAAAATGTATTTTCGTATAAGATGCTTTTAATGGGGTGATTTGCATACACGTGATTTACCTACAATATTTTTGGGAGTCCTATAAATGGGTTAATTCATGAGAYAAGTTTCTCTCTGAAGAAATGATAGTAAAAGACAATAATTTTTGTATTAAAATTAAATAAACAAAGTGAATAATGAGTTATTTTTTACTAAAAAAAAACTATTTAAACCGAATAAAATAAAATTGCAAAAATCCCTTGGATGAAAATTAAAACTAAAATAAATACAAATTAACAGAACAAATTATTTGAACGTTTAATTATTATTTATTATTTGAATAAATAATAATGTTTTTGGAACCTAAATGTTGCTTTATATTATACGTTGTTCGAATCTCTCGCTGAGAGATCCGTATAAATTGGATTTCTCGATTTCTCGATTTCTCGATTTAAATGTATTTGTTACAACTCACGTAAAAAAACACAAATAATATTATACATAACTGTACAAAAAAAATTTGCTAAACGACGTATTTCAAAATCAGGTAATCTTTAAAATCGCAATTACATATTAATTAGTATTTACAACTATTTACAAATTTGACACAAACCGTCGTCGACGTATGTAGGTACTCATGACACGGTCGACGACGACAACATGTCTTTCAGTGGGATAATTATTGTTTTGGTAAAAATAAAATTACTATTCTTATAGTAGGTAATTATAATATTAAGTAARGTATATGTTTAATAATTAATATAATAGTATAGTAAAGGTATAATAATAAATAAATATCGTAATTACAATAATAATAAATAATCATGTGCGCGCGCTGCAGCAGGTCTGCCTTTGAGCTTTAGGAGATGGATGTGGTAGTGGTGGCGGTGTTGGTGGATGACGACAATAGCATAATAATATAATAGTATGTCAGTGACTGACGATGGTGGATGGTTAGTTTGGGAGTGGATGGGTAGCTTGTGAGGGGAYGGGTAAGGGGAAGGGCTTAGAGGACCTCATCGTTAATAGTAACTGAACTCTCATGGGTTAATATGACCCTGTTGGGTGTTACCAAAAGTGAAGCCCAGAGCCCTTGGGTCACCGCCGTGTAGCCTAAGTGCCTGTTCGAGCCGTTGTTCCTGAAGCCTTAGCGCCTCGGACAGGTCAGGCGACACTTGGCCTTGGTGGTGGTAAGGATTCTGTCCGTTCATCAACTGCCCCTGTGCCATGGCGTTGTAGTTGATGGCTACGTTCTGCTGTGTCTGATGCGCGTTCTGCTGTTGTACCGACGACTGTCGGTTTTGTTCAGGTACCTGTTGCTGGCCGGATGACGCGGCTACGGCTTGCGAGACGGCCAACCTGAGCGCTGCCTCCGCTTGAGACCTAAGTATGGCTTCCTGCATCCGTAACGTCGGTGAGCTCTGCTCGTGGTTGGACTGTTGGTGGTGGTGGAGCATGGACTGGTGACCGGACTGCTGGTGGTGTCCACCACCGAGACCGTCAACCATGGACGACATGGAAGCCCGAACGGCTGCGTTCATGGCCATCTGGACRGCTGATTGCATCGAGTTTACTGACGAGTTTGAACCGGAACCACTGTTGAACAAAAAAATGTACATACGTATTAATGCGTGCGAAACCTTTTTTTTTTTTTACCTAAATACTTCTATAACCCTGTTTTATACGACCCACTTAAAATGTACATAGCATGTCAATACAACCCAATACACCCATCGGGACTAATTTAATATCATCATTATAATAGCGTACCTGGAAGTGGTAACCAATGGGTTTTGGTGCATGGCATTAGACTGGGTGATGCGCATGGCCGCCGCAGCAAGATTGGCCGCGGCCGCTTGGACTACAGACGCCGGGGTTGGAGGTGCAGATCGCGGTGAGTGTGACGGCGATGGTGGGTTCTGCTGAAGTTGCTGTTGTTGCTGTTGCTGCTGCTGCTGCTGTTGTTGTTGCTGCTGCTGCTGCTGCTGTTGTTGTTGCTGTTGTTGTTGCTGCTGTTGCTGTTGAACCTGTGATACAGCAGCATGGGCCTGCTGCTGGCTCATGAATAATGCAGCAGCTCTTTGAAGATCATTGGCGTTGTACTGAGGTTGCTGGTTCATGTATTGGTGACCTCCATTGCCACTAACTATACGATAGACAAATAGAAAAATATTTTTAATAGAAAAAAAAAAACTTAAATGTGTTAGGCTGAACACAGAAAGTTCACTTACTCATGCCTCCAGTTCTAGCGGCCATTAGCTCAGCCAACTTAATCGCCGTAGGATTGTTGTTGTTATTATTGTTGTTGTTTGTCGTCGTGTTGTTGTTGTTGTGATGCAACACTAACGGAATTTGGTTGTCGGCTGGTGAGACAGATAGCCGGCCACCCGTTGGAACAACGACGTTACCGCCTGCCGCAGCTGCCGCTGCAGCCGCGGCCACCGCAGCAACCACAGAATTATTGGTGCCAGTGCCAACTGAACCTGTAGAACCAGCTCCACTGGGACCGTCCACTTCGCCGTTGTTCGATGAGGACGAATCTGAGTGAACAGAATGAGGTGAGGCGGGGCCACCCATGCTGTTGGTGGCCGTCACAGCGGCTAGGAAGTTTTCTCGTTCTCTGCGTTCAGCAGCCGCTCTGCTCAGAACGTACTGCGCAGCAAACTGATGCTTGGGATCCATGCGCATGTGTTCCATATGTGTTAGCAGGCCTGTACAAAGAAAACACGAGTTAAGATTACGACGGTCGACAAAGATGCGATGCATAAATCTATAGTTGATAATAAATTGCGGCGCATAAAAAAATTGATTTGCTTCGTATATTATATACGCGCATGTGATTATTTTTTTCTCAGTCGGCAACATGACGAGATTTATGCGACATGTGCACCGTAAATCAGTTATCATCGGAATATTGCTAACATGGCACGGTATGTTTTAGTGATGGTCATTATTTTGTTCGGACAAACCGGAATTAGGATTAAAGATTTATAATCCTGAACTCGGATTCAGTCCATTGAAATCCAGGTATGCATGCATTTATTATAATATATAATATAATAGTGTGCGTATATGACTATCATCATTCGAATATAGATAATATGGCAAATATCAGAAATATTTTAATATAATTTGAATTTGAAAAATATTTTAACCAAACCATAAATTACTTCATATTTGTAATTTAGAATAAGTAAGTTTAAAGAATTCAAAAACTATATTTATACATTCTAAACAAAAATAATTCGAATTGATCRGGACTTGGTGACTATATCACCGTCACATCAGAAATCATATCGTTACATCACAATGGCTTACCTGATTCGTGGGTGAATACGGCTTGGCAAACAGAACACGGCCACATCCTTAGCTGGGCGTACTGAGCTGTTTCCGGATGGCAAGCCAAATGTTTACGCAGACTTCCCTCGTTCACGTAGTGTTTACCACACACAGGACAGGGATGGTTGGCCGTTCTACGTTTGGCCATGTACGGACCAGTACCGACATCTGAGTAACCTGTGAAAATAATACTGATATGAAAATTGTTTACACGTAGGTAGTTTTCGAATATTTTATTTGTCACGAGAAATTTAAAAATATTGAGAATCTTATAGGCTTTAGGGTTCAGGATTATTATTATAGTCGATGAGTGTCCTATATTATGTCACTCACTTTGTACGACGGCCTGTGACACTGTGGTCGGATCGTTGTGGTGGACTTTCATATGTTCGACCAGTGACTCGCTACCTAGGAACAATTTATGGCACAGCGGACAAGACGTAGTGCTCGCACCGCCCATCAAGGCGGCGTGCTGCTGGAGCACGTCCATGCGAAGTTCAGCTTCCTGAAAATAAAAAAAATGTTCCTGAAAATAACAATAAAACATACGTCAGGTATAACCAGTAATCAGCGAACCCGGAAGTACGCGCGTGTTCGGGACTTGTTGGCGGGGGAGACACTATATACACATTAAAGTATATTATTATAATATAAACACACGGCCGCCGCCATTGCGCAGCGTGTTTCCTTTCCGATTCGCGTGAAGAAACACAATACTGACGTGGTCCCTTTGGACACACGCGTATTAATCTATACTATCTAGCTATATATATAAATGTATGTATAGTGTATACAGTACACACACGCACACATTTATATTTGTATTTAAATATTATACTGTCTGCTGTGAGTTAGAATGGCCATTTTGAAAAAAAATACCGTTTCCGTTTTATTTTACGTGCCATATTAATATATTATGCGTGTATACTGTATACGTACGTCGCATACGCATAAACCTGACAATCGTCGCCGCAAAATATACGCTCGGAAAGATCAAATTTATGGTGCTTTGCTGTTTAGGCGGCGGCGTACTCGGATTTATCGTTATACGCTCGCGTATATTATAATAATATACTCTAAAATTTACCGACCGGAGTTTATTGTCGCACAATAATAAAATTTTAATCGTTATTATTTTTTCCACCCCGTTCCAATATTAATTGTGACTAAAAATCATACGAGAACAAAACTATACTGTTATGTATGTATACATATATATATATTATGTTGYATATACAGAGTACATACATTTATGCAATATGATATAATGTATATGAATGCGGACAATGGTGTGCGGTGGCTGTATAGAATGTTACAATATCGGCGCCTTGGGAGATGTGTCCGAGCAAAAAGTACTCGAACGTAGGAGGAGAAGTAGTCGACGAGTAAAGGGGATGGCAATAAAACAAACGTAATTTTAATTTTTAAAAGCCCTTCCGACTACTTTCAGCCCGGTGACTTTTATTAAAAGTCCGTCTGCGGCGTCGTCCAAGTAGCGGAGATTTACATTTTTATTAAATATTTTATAAACAAAGTATAATTTATCGGTCTGAGTGTTCTCGAAAGTCGAAAGAATAGGCGCCCGCCCGGACTCGGGACACCGTAAATAATTACTGGCGGTTTTTGCACGTGATTTGTATACGGCTTTCGTCAAAGTATACAGCTATCCACTATATCCAGTCCTTGTACACAGAATATACATCAGCCTGGTAATCTAATAGTGTTTTCTTAAGTTGAAGTTTTTTTTTTACAATGACACATTATACAAAATTAAAAAATAATAAATAATGGAAGTATCGTAATTGACTAATAATGAGTTTTCAATAGTTCCGTGCATATAATTAAATATATTATCATAAATATAAAAATATTTTTTTACCAGTATTCATCATATTTTTCAATATTACTTAATTAAAAAGTTTACCAACGACGAATTATTTGAATATTTAATGTTGTGTATTTTTTCACGAGAAACTATAATCGCGTAAGTACACATTTACTAAAAGCGAACGAAAAATGTCATTATCAAACATTAAATTCACCGTGACCATTACCATTTCCAATATAAACTTTATATTAATGCCAAATACTTTTACTTTGTGTACCTAAATGATTTATGCACCTTTATTGCATAAAACTAATATTTTCTTCATGAATTTTATCGTTTTGCACGGCGGCGCACTGAATTAAATTATTTATAATAAATGACACACAGAACGCTTCGTGTCCGTGGTAACATGATTTACTTACGTACTTTCTTATCACGCCACTATTATAGACGACCAGTTTTTAAACTATTTAGTCGTTACGATTTCGACTGAATTGAAAATAGATTTAATAATATCATRTTAAAAAAAAATATATAGAGATAAAGAGTGATTGAGAAGGAGAAAAATATGCGATTATAAACCCTTGTTCCACGAAAAAGTACTTAAAAAAATGATTATGTACGAAAATAACGTTTGCAAAAGAAAGGATTATATAATAATAATAATAACAATAATATGACGGGGGAGACGACTACGATGAAATTGGAAAAATTAATGGAATTCCAGTGCGCAAATCCACTCGGTATATAATCATAAGCGTTATCGACTGCTTGAAATGAAAAACGGGTTGGCGTATTATTATAATAATTAGGTGAAGTAGCTGCTGGGCCCGCGTATGTTATAAAAATATTAATTATTAAAGTCACCACTATTTTGTATTATTGGCAGCTTAAAAAAACAATACGCCGACAGATCGTACGCTTTAACACACGCGCAATAATATAGTATATTATAATATTATTTTATGTTATTTTATACGGGCTCGGCCCAATGTAGGTACACTTATAAGTAAGTGAATTATACACGGAAATATTATTATGAATGTACATATACGACATTTTTATTGTATTTCGTCCCGTGTTCCCGCGCGCCATCATGCCATCAATACGATATTATATTATATCTATTGCTATAATATTATGTTCCGTTGTACAGTTGTCTAGCGAAACGTTCATGACACACGCACGTAAACGCACGTGCATGCACGCATGTAAGTACGCGTACTGTAGAGAAAAATGCGGTTAAACTTTCCACGGTTTTTCGTGTACACGCCGCCGTTTCCCAGTCATCGTTGTCGTCGTCGTTCCATTTACGGAAAGTGGTCTACGGCGACACGAGCGTCCGCGCGGTGTGTATTGCTCGCCGCAAAATTTATGGCYTCTTATTAGAATATCATGTGCGCGCGGTTTCGCTATAATATATAGATAGGCACACATACACACACATACACACACATAAATGTATATTTACTCACACACACATATTATATACTATATATATATATTGTATGCCGCGCGCACTCGCGTCACCTATCTATGCCGCACTCGGCTCTCCGCCACCGCCACCGCCGACGTTCACGGTCCGAAGATCGGTCCCGCTTTTAACGTCCGGATGAGAAAATAATGAGCTGTTGCCATTAAAAATATAAGAAAGAAATAAATAAATAAAATATCATAACGTGCGCACCAGTGGAAGATATACGAGTATAATATAATATATCGCGTATAMATAGGAGTAAAAAGCGAAAACGAGCGTGCTGGATATCGATCTTTTATTATTATATATCATTTCATAATATTATATTTTATATTATACACTGCCCCGCGGAGAGACTATTAAACGGTTTTTATTATTATTATTATTATTATATGCGAATATATTAGTCGTATAATATAACATTATTATTACATGTGCGCTGATTTGTATATATTGAAATTTAGAATCGCGAGTGTAGTGATAAACGCACATTATAATTGGGATAATATAATATGTTCGCATGACATTACCGGCGATCTAATTAAACKAAAAATTAAAGGAATTTTTTTTTTATCAAAAGTTAATTTACAATCTGTATCATACAATTATTGAATTATTACAATAAGTAAAATTGATATTTACAATAACATTAAACTTACTAACATAAGTAACGTGTAGAGGAGAAACCCATGCATTGGTAAATGGTAATACCTATTTTAYTAAATAAATAGGTCTCTACGCCGGAAAAAATAAATTTAAGTAAAATAATTACCAAAGAAAATTCTAAATAAAAACGGTTTGAAGACGGATTTTCCGTTAACGTAGTAGTTTAGATGTCAAAATGTCAGTATAAAACTTTAAACAGATTACAAAAAAAATAAAACAAAATAAAATTGTGTTATTATAACAGTAGTATAGTATACTTGAAAGTTAAGATCATAAAAGGAGAAATAATAAAAACAAATAAGAATAATAGTAAAATAGGACCAGAAACGCCGAACATGCGGGTTATTTATTTAGTACGGAATGCTTGCAGTATATACAATGCGTGAAGGTACTTAATTTTTTTTTGTATCTTAATAACGATTATTATGCATACAGCAATTTGAATGCGAGTGCATTCAATCAAACGACAAGACAACGTGCAATTACCTCCGACACTCGACACTTGCATTATTATTCAATATCGTGTGCATGTACATTGTACATACAAACTGTTTCAACACCTGCTACGCGGGATGCATCGAGCGAACATATCGCATATAATTGTACATGCACCAGGAAAAAAATTTAACGTCGGTTGGGATGCATAAGAAATTAAAATAATTGTTTGGTGGCCAAAAAAAAAAATGTAACTGTACATAAAGAACTGTTTAAAAAAAAAAAAAAATGCCTGGAAAAATAAATAACACGCCCACGCCGGATAAAAAAAAGAAACCGAACAAACCACCTGTATGCTCAGAAATCAACAGTCCCGAATTAATTTTTTTAGTTTCGATAGAAATCAACAGAAACATTCTTTCGTTTTGTTTTCGACAAGTGTTAATTTATTCTATTTCCTAAAATTAATCGTTCTATGCGTAGTATGTAAATCGGTTCACCTGCTCACGCACTACATAAATAAGCGCCTCGGGATCCGTCGCGTGGCCTATAAGATTTACGAAAAGCCTGTATGTATATAATATATACGTTAGTGCGTTACGTCGTAAAACARAATATATGTATATCTATGTTATCTAGTTCCCATGTTATTTTGGATTTTTTGTTGTGCTTTTTTTATATATACACAAGGGTCATAATACGCATAGAAGTATGTTAATAAAAGGCTGAACACAAGAAGGGTCAATAACGAATACTCTTAATACCCTTTTCACATTTTTAATGAATATCGTCGAATAGTGGTGTTTTTTTTTTTTTATTACGTCATATTTTTGCACAACCCTTTTCATTCTAATTTACATTTGTGTTACACTTCACCGGATTTTCGCCCTATTAAACATTTGTAAATACGATGATAAAAGAACATAAAAATGTATATAAATTTGAAATGAAAAAAAAAATTGAGAATCAAGTGCGGTCTGACCGAACTACATGAATTTTGAGCTACGGCATAATCAGTTAGGTTTTTATTAGTTAGGATTGTTCGCATATAGGTATATTGAAGGATCTTTTGTGGTAAATCAAAATAATTGCACAAAAACACATTGGAATCGCAATGCCAAGTTTAACGATCCGAGAATGTGTTTATGGTTGTTTCTATTTTTATGGATCGGTCACTTGGCGAATATTATGCAGAAATTCAATTTATATATATACTCTCAGAAAAGTATTTCGCATCACTGCCACAATATTATTGAATAGACACAATCAAGGACGGACATTCAATAAAAAAAAAATTATTATTCATACATTACAATAATAATACAAATATGTCTTTTTATGATATGAAAAAAAAGCATAAGGCAATAAACACTTTGGTTAATTCAACACGACAAAAAAATAAAATGAAAAAAAAGAAGTGGAGCGTTTTGAAACAAGAAAAACTTTTACCCCACTGTGTTAAATGTTTCACCCTTTTGTTAGACTATACAAACTTTGAGGCATAAATTAACAATAAATARTAATCAACGATCGTAAATGAAAGGTGTCCCATCTAAAGTTGAAAAAAAACATGAAATGTCATTTTAATCGTATAAGTACCTACTAAAAATTATGACTCGATCATTTTTCAAAACTTATCTTAAATATATATAAAAATATTTTAATGTGTTTAATGATTTTTGGGAGTGTTGTTTACGGAATTTTTTATAAAAAGTGTGTTCTTATACAAAGTCATGATGATGTGTAATGTTTTAAAACGGCTCGTAGTAGTAATAACCGCACTATTGAAATAATTATTATTGCAACTTGGCACACGTTCTGTAAACTACACGTACGACAAATAATACCACATAAACTTTTTTCTTTTACACAGCATATACTTTTGGATTTCCTACAAGAYTATTAACGAAAAATAAAATATAAAAATAACGTCGAAAAAAATATGATCACTGCATACTTACACGTTGTCCCATATATTTTAAGTTTCATAAAAAAAATAAAAAAAATCTACCTACATTTATTTTTATCGATTTGAATAATTTTTCCGTAATATATAATTAAKAGAATATTTAATTATTTATAGCCCACATATTTGGTGGTCTTACTGTTTTGTCGAGAGAGCGAGAGAGGAAATACTCTGATTGTCAGGAGACGTGACGAAGTTCGGCGGCAACAATATCACCAGTGGGATAAGTGAAGCCAAGGAAGGGAAATAAAGTCCATTTTTCGCAGTTTTAATTACAGCAGTGAAAATCGTAACGTGGCAGATTTGAAGAAATAACAAAATTAACTAAAAATATAAGATGTCCGTAAGAATTAAAACCCTTTTCGCCAGCTTTTTCCCATTAACTTTTCAAATAAGCCACCGGGTTGTCACTATATTTCATTGGTCGCGGCGCTATCCGCTACACTCCACACACCCTCGTCACCCAGTCGAGTACATATAATATAATAATAATAATAATATGGTGCGCGCTTGCGTGTAATGCAATCTCAGCGACCACGGCGAAGACGGCAAAATATTATATACATATTACATATATCATAATATATAATAATATAATTCTATAAAGAGGAAAATATTATTGCGGTCGTTATCGTGACAAAACGATTAAAAATCCGTACGTCTAGCCAGTAACTGCGTATATTTTATGGACAGTATGCGTGCATAATATATATAATATGCGAGAACAAGACTTATATGAATTTTCAGTATTATATGTGCGTTAAAAACAACTTCTCTATTTCTCTAACCTATTTAATCCATCTAATATATAGGACATGTGTTTAATAATATTCATATATTTTTTAAAATTTTTTTTCTAGTTATTTCATTTGTATAAATCATAATTGARTTTTTTATAAGTCGTTATTTTTCTTCATAAACGCAAACACACAAAACTATAAATATGATGTACACCATCATTCTTGATGACGTCATAACTCATAGGTTATGACAACAAAGGCTAAATATTGTCGTCATCACCGTCACTGAGACGGAGGGTAAACCTACGCATCACCATGGAAAAAATCWTCTTTACCTACATAACTGGGTCAAAGTCGCCCTCCTTTAACACCACTGCCATAATACACCATTCTTCGTGCAGTTATTCGGTCGACTACCGCAGCATTTGGTAAGCGGAAATTCGATTAAAACTGACAAAATATTTTTTATGTATATAATAACGTTATTTCGTAACGATACGRGAAAGACGTATGTGTTTCTTATATATATTTCTACGCGCATATACATACATACAGCATGGTCACAGTATATAATATAATATTTTTATTAATAATCGTTGGACACCTGCTATACAATATATAAGCAACATATAGTGTAGGTTTTATATTGTTATACCCTACCGCTGAGTGCCTATAGGTACAAAAATAAACACACACACAAGCGCGCGTGTGTGTTTTACTATAGTGAACCGAATAATAAATAACGATATTGAAACAACGTCTCCTCACCTTAGCTGTGTGGGTGCGCAGACTGGACTCGGTGGCGAAACCTTTGCCGCAGATGGTGCAGTGGAACGGCCGGTTTTTGGCCCTCTCCACTTGGGCATCGTGATTGCGGAGATGTTGCTGTAGATTGGACAGCTGTATGAAAGCTCGTCCGCACTCGGCCAAGTGGCATCTGTAAGGTCGTTCTCCTGTTGAACGAAAACAAAATACATGAACAACGAAAATATAATACGCGTTTCAACCGTCACCGTACAACAGTAATCACAATAATAATAATAATAGCATGTCGGAAGAAAACAAAAACTTAAAAGTAGYAAAAAAAATGCCATCATAACCGGTTATACTGCAGTCGTTTCATATGCAAATAATACTGACAAACATTATACAGCGTTGAGCTCGATGTRTACTGTATAGGTACCTACTCGCGTGCAACGATATAATATTATACAAATGTGGTCCTTTGCGGAAGGAAGAGCCGCTATTGTTTTAACACGTTAGCACGATGCCATCTGATTTTTTTCACAAGTCGTCGTTATATTATATTATTCTATTTATTTTTTTCGAATCTGTTTTTTTCCCTTTTTTGTTTTTAASAGTGTGTATTATGCATATACATATAGGTGCATGTATATAATATAATATGTGTATCCATCCTATACGCGTTGCACTGCCGTCTCCCGTGTATATCCCGYCGCGAGTGATACACACTGCGGCACCTTGAGAACCGCGCGTATCCAATTAGATATTCTTTTGTTACATTTTTACCGACACGTTATGGTAATTTTACCCGGATATGTGCATTTTTTGCGCCAACAAATATAATAATTCCCCTTTCGTCCAAACCCCTTTTCGCAGCCTGCAACGTGATCCCCGCGGACGCTTTTGTTTTAACGTGAGCATTTCAAATGATTCTCTAATTTATTTATTTAATTTTTTTTTTATATTATTATTATTATTATTATTTTTTGTTCACAACGCTTCTTAGCGCGTCTTCCGTGGGAGATTATTCATATAGAAATTCTATAATGTGCAGACCACGTAGTACCTATACTGTGGTCTGTAGTGAACTATACTCGCGCACACAAAGGCTGTTACAAAGGCCCGTGGTAAACTCAGAACGAACTCTAATAATATTCTCGTTTGCTTTAGAACAGTGTGCATATTTTATAAAATATTGTTGCGACCAACCGACATTTATACTTATAGTTGATTTACTCAATGTGTGTGAACGCGGAATGAGCGCGCTTACACGTGTGTAAAAAAAATGTATTTATCGTATTGTTTTATATTCCAGATTGTTTTGTTATTTGTTTTTATGTGATTGAGAGAATCTGCGTACGTGATATGGTATATACCGATATACCGTTATTACCTATGTACATATTATGCACATACATGATGTGTACTATATAATCATGTTAAAATGACGCGTATACGGCTGCCAAAAYAAACGTGATTGAGGGCAGTATAATAAAAAACACACGGGTGGCAGACCGGGTGGATTTTTCCCTGAATGATTTTCGGGAAAACGTCGCAAAAAATGTTCATATACATATAATAAGCACATCATGCATGCGTTATAATACATCTATATAATGTCACGAGATTTATGTACCGAAACGGGTGGACCATAAATCGCATCGTTCATATTTTTCGGCGAGGCTGTGTTATTTTTTGTTCAATTCCCATCGGTTTTTTGCAGCGTGTTTTCATTATTATAATATTATTTACAGTCCCTGGAACCGCGTTGTTTTTTGGACAAAAAAACAATTCGGCTTTGGTAGAATGATTTAAAACACTGGGATCCACAAAAATACAAAATAATAAAATATATTATGCGTACAATATCGAAATTCATATACGTCATTCTGTCGATTGCYCGCACGCACAACAGTGACTAATGACAATAATAGTATTTTTATTGTTAATTGTCCGGTCCTGTCTCTATATACGTATGTATAGTTAGTGTGTACAATATTATACACAATTATACAGGTCGTTTCACCAAGTATGCTCATCCCAATTTTTAAATTAAGTAATGAGTTTATTCATAACATTTTGATTTTGAATTTTGAAATGACTTGTTAAGGACCATAAAAAAGAGGGGGCTCATTTGAAAATAGAAGTTTGTATCTTAAAAAAACTCTCCTTAAATAATATGATAAATCTAGAAAAACTAAAAATATGGGTTTTAAATACATTTAAAAATTAAAAAAAAAAATCTTATTTTGTATAACTGTATTATTGAAAAATGAGGGATGTAATATTGGTGAATCACCTTTTTTATAGATTAATATGTTAACTTAGATAACGTTCTGTGATAGTATTATTAGGATTATCACCTTAATGTATATCATGTACCTATCTATCTGTGTCAATTTTAAAAATTACAGTTACATAAAATGGGCCGCTTACAGGTAAATGATAGTCCGTGTGTGTGTTTAATAACAATGATAATAATATAATAACACGGTAATACGGTTTTGACGACAGGTAAATGGCAATATAACTGGCGGTGGCTATTTTGTTTTTCCAATAAAAAGTTTTCTGAAGAGAAAAAAAGTCCGGTAATTGTTTGCAGTAAGCGACTACAATATAAATAATTGAATTTAGTCCCTTTTCAACCCTTTGACGGGATTAAAACGGAGAAAAAAGACCTTTTATTATTGTTGTTGGYGGTCACACAGTAGGTATAGTGTTTTGGCTTTTTTTTTTCATGTGGTTTTGAATCTTTTATACGTTTATAATCGAGGTATTTATACGAATGATGCTGTAAAATCTCAGTGACCAATCCTTAATATCGGTGTATTCGTATATACTAATTAAGCAAGCTATCCCAAT